TCGGTCAATGATTTCATGAGTTACTTTGATAGAAGAATCAGTTCCTAAATCCTGTAGACTTTATGACATCCACCATAAGCATGGACCTCCCTAACCACCGCGACATATTTGCAGTCACCTACCAACGACGATTAATGGATGATGTTCTTGAGGGCCAGATGCTTAGATCACCTTGAGCGTTGTGCGATTCTGGATTTATCAGTCTCATTTAAGATTATCACTCATGACTTCTGTGTCGTCACCTACATGCTAGACCTGTGCCTTGGCTAACAGTTGGGTGACTTAGTCCTGAAGCTAGCTACTCCATGTCTGTTAATTAGGCTGCTTCTAATATCGACCCCCTGCGATGGATAAATATATTACTTACCCTTGCTAAAGGATGAATTCGGTTAAGGGAGTACTCGGAGTTCAATGGAACACTTCACCTTCAGGTCTCAAATTGGCACCTGTGTAATTTCTCCAAACGTTGTTTCTAAGGATGGACATATTTTTTTGATTACAGCTTGATTACACACTGTATTTTTGGTACAGGTATGGAATTTTCAGCATGGATATCGGTAGCCCAAATTTTGCCGGCCGACCATAGATATTAGGTGTGCGTCGGCAGAGGATCGAACTCCGGACCATATGTATGATCGGCAAGAGTTCTAACCGCTGTGCCACCGACGTACACATATTGATTTTGGTGGTGGAATGACTGAATTACAATTGAATTCACGAGACTGTTTATTAAGGAAACCGTTTATGAAAGTTTATCTTTGGTAAAAAAGTAGACTGCTGCCTGTTTGTCGTTTATACCATCTCTGGGTGAATGCGTGGAGTCTAACTGTCCAACCGGTACCATCAACTTTTGAGGGCTGGACTTATTCGTCACGTACTCTAGAAGTTACGTTTGGAATTTTTTTTGCCAATAATTTTTAATAAAATTGTATTATATGTTATCTAGATTGAGGGAAATTCCCACTTTTTGGCTGGTTATGTTGGTGTCCGCCTCATGTGATCTGACTGCGACACACTTTTAGGGCAGCCTGTAGACGGACGTAGGTCATTTGATCAGCTGATGGATATTGGCGTTGTATATTGGAAAAACGTCAAGGTCAGGTCATTTTTCGTTGTTTTTCACACTTTTCTACCTATATTCCTGCTAAAAGTGGATGAAATGCGGCCTATTTAGCAGAAAGAGCATATGGTGGTGTTCTTATCCGGACGTAGGTCACAGGCAGTTTACAGTTTCTTGAAAATAACGTATTTTTCCGTTCAGAAAATGTCTAATTACTTGAAGAAATATGTTATAAAGACTTTTTGTGAATTTATTTTGCAGTTTAATGGATTACGCATGGACATGATGAGGTGGGACAGCTCGTTTTGGTAATTATTTCAGTTACTTTGTTGTGTACTTTGCGTAAAATGCTGACAAGGCTCCTCCACATGTATTTCCTTAATAAAAATCTGCAGAAATACATAAAAATTATATATGCATAGTATTTCCTTATATGATGGCATAAAGTTGATGTTAGCAGGCAGATGGAATATCAACTTAGCATTATTGAAAGATGTTAACTAACATAATTATTTACAGTTGAAATCATTATTTTGTCATTTTAAGCATATTTCATGGTTAATTATTGTGTTTACACTGATAACAATGACTACATCTGTATAATTCTTATGTTCTTTTTCAGATAATATCTTCTTTCGGGAATTTCATGGATTTGGGTGATAAAGAAAAAGATACCTGCACTGTTGTCGATTTTGTATTACATGTTAATTCATTAATAAATGTATTCCTTGTTATTCGTTTGTTTATTCTACTTGATAAGACCGAATATTAGCCCTTGCGTAATTTGTTAGGTATAGAGTATATGAGGCTATCTTTGAAATACTAAGTAGGAGCAGATATTCGGAGAAGTCTATTGGTAAAACATTATGTTGTAGTAAAATAAAGTAAATATGTCTAAATCGTAGAGGAGGTATTACGATTATAAAGCGTTTCGAGTTATCTATCGTCTTAGCAGAGTACATATACTGATTCGCGATTCCTAGTCACAAAGTGAGAGTAAACCTACCTGAGATAGTTTGCTTGTGATTTCTGCATGCCGCAATATACCATAAGGAGAGACTATACCTATGCTGTTAGATGTATGACTCAGTACAACTACGGTTATCGTAATAATTAAAAACAGAATGCCTAGGGTTCTCAGTCAAAGAACACGATACGTTGCAATCTGCTTATATAATCACGTAAACAAAAGTTTTCCAGACGCCGCATTTACTCCTAACAGTTTACCCTCAATTTCTAACTTAGCACGTGCTACTTATGTTACTGGAACACAATTGCATTACAACAGAATGAAGACAGACTCATTGAAAAATTGTTTATTAAACAAAATCAGATTTCAAATGTACAGGTAATTCAGATGCGTAGTCCTATGTTACCGTCAGTAAGTTCCATCTGCGTACGCGGCACATATATGGTTTTCCATAAGTCTGAAAAGGTTTAAGAAAAGCATAATTAACTTGGGTATTACATGTATGATCTGAATAAGAAGATTTTCCTGATAAGCATTTACAAGTAATCACTTTACAAACAATATATATATGTAAATATAAGTAGCCCAATAGTTTTCACTAAACTTAAGGGACTACGCAACTTATCGTTTGTCGATATCTAGTAGGTCCATCGAAGCATCATGAAATGATAAAATTATTTAACGACAAGTTATGCAGTAGTTTTCAAAGCTTGTACAAATGTTTTAGCAAAATTGACAACAATTTTATGACAAATAATAGGTCTAGACAGCAATAATGATAGCATTCATGATCATAGTGACTATGAAAACAATAATAGGTATTATTATCGCAACGAATTCATCATTAATTAGATAGACAACTAATAATAATACAATCATATCGAATAAATGTATCAATTAATCTTAAAAATCATGTGTTTGCTTACTTCCGCTGTATTCTCTCAATACTGATGCGCTCAACCAGTTTATCCCAACTGAATTCACGATTAATTCTGAAAGTGAGTGGAGATCCAGTTTATGTCAAATAAAAACATGTAGCTTACATGTATTACACTGCTTACTGAGACATCTGGTATCTGCTTTCCGATCTTCGTGACAAGAACACAGTTTATCTAGGTTTACCTACATATACAAAAGTATATGTATATGCTGCATCAACCATGCCGTTTTTATCATGATTAGCCAGACCACTGTGTATATTATACTTATTTAAGGATCTCTGAAAATAATGGTCAAGCGATAATTGAAGTTGCGTGAAGTCGTGTGACAAAAAATTGATATGATTATGAACAATAAATTGTGTTCGAAACGTCATCCAGTATACAATACTGTTTCACTGTGTGATACATTTAATAATCAAACTAATATGGAATAAATAAGAATTGTTTCTTAGCTGATTGTCAAGTGAACAGTCTATTTGATGATGTCACTGCATATTAACAGATTAGTGAAGTAGATATCAAGCCTAAGTTACTACATTTACTTGTACTACATACTTGGCGTTTAACAGTATACAGACTTTCAACTGGCTAGATAAGGCGACTTTAGAGTATCAAACAGTACAGAATTATTATTCAACTTGCTAAATCCCACTTAGCTTTTACAATGTGCTATTGTGTAGAAACAGACACGAAATCCTACTAATGACTAAAGTAACATTCTCATAATACTACAGTGAATTTCCATACCACTAACTAAGCTTAGCGTTTATTATTCCTAATTCACTTATTACAAAAGCACATTGTATAGCGAGGAATTGAAGAAGTCTACAGGAAGAAGTAATCAAGAGTATATTAAACATTTGATTAATTTACAAAAGAAAATTCTGATGAAGGGTAATAAAGTTAGTTTGACCGAATGATGTTTCCGCTGATTTCATATTCGACAACCTCCGTATACCTGGAAAAAATAAAGTACATGTTAGAACTAGCATAACATGAAGTTAACAAGAGATAATTCTACATATTAGCATACAATCATTCTGTTAAAACTAAGTATTATCTCAGGGAGATAAATGTATTTGTAGTCTACAGCTGATATTTATGTTGACGCCGTATACATAAATATACATATGTTTTCCTGCATTTGAGGACTATATGCAAATTTCAAGGCAATCTCCGAAACATTCATACTATTGAGGCGTCATTCTCTCATCAAGCTTACTTGCAGATCAACTTCACACTAAACACTTTTACATGAAATGAAGTATTGCAAATGTATAACTTAGAAATTAATCCACAATCTCAGTAATGTCTAGTCCACAAGGTTTTGTGAATCCTACACAAATCACATTTTCACATTTAGGAGACTATAGGCATCAAATATAAGCTGAACATGCCTCAACTCTAGACAGCTATGCACAGTGCTAACAACATAGTGAAACACTTCAACTATTGTAAAGTACACAAACCTGTTGTGTTGATGAGGATAATGTCATATAATGCAAACTAGAAAATTCAATCGTCACAGAGCATCTGTACTGCTTTGTCTAAATGGAAATCTCAGGAGAAATTCATCTCCACTATTGGTGATCAAAAATATTGTAGCATTAAGTATACAGTCAGTGGAAATTGTAAAAGAGAATAAATTCATATTAATGATAATAAAGCTGAATAGATTCAGTTCTAGTAACCACCTTCGTTTGTTATCCTATCAGTCAGCTTAGTACACAATGGCACAATATTATTATAGTTGAGATATTTTTGTACATTTAATTAACATAACCCATAGCACACTGCACCAACCAGTGCCAATATATATGAAATCCATTTAGAGATAACCTTTCAACTTACCATAATTCCTGTCCAACCACAGATAAAGTGAAAAGCACATCTAAATGACAACTTAGGTTCCCACCAACGATTCTGATAACATTTGCAGGTGATTTCCAAGTATTGAGAGAATTATTTTGTCAAAAAAGACTGTTCTTCACACGAAAATAGGCTGTACTGATATCCTGAGACATGAAGTCTTCATTGAATGATACTATGCCGAAAGATGCAGCTTCTACATGGAGTAAATGAGTGGTGTAAATGGCATTACCCTCTAACTATCCTATCTCCCTCATTACACCGACATTTTGATACATTCCATCTGAAACACTAATCATTGCAACCAATATGCTAAAAGTGGGCAGCCTGTCGACGGACGTAATTTTGAGTGACCGCGAATGAGATAAACAAGCGATTTGCTCGCTTGTGATTGGCCAGTTTGTCATTCGAGTTGAGGTAATTTCAAACATCATTCTGCTGCTTCGTTAGGTCCTGAATTTCCGTGAGCGTTTTATCAAATTGGAGAGATAACTGACAACACAAATTATTACAGCTCAGGAAAGAGATGATATAGCAGTAGATTTATTTGCTGAATTCAACGAATTCATGCCAAATTACAATCTAAGGACTTCTCAGGAGTGTCAAGAATGCAAACAATGTCTTGAAGAGGTAATAACTTCACGCAACTTCAATTATCGCTTGACCATTATTTTCAGAGATCCTTAAATAAGTATAATATACACAGTGGTCTGGCTAATCATGATAAAAACGGCATGGTTGATGCAGCATATACATATACTTTTGTATATGTAGGTAAACCTAGATAAACTGTGTTCTTGTCACGAAGATCGGAAAGCAGATACCAGATGTCTCAGTAAGCAGTGTAATACATGTAAGCTACATGTTTTTATTTGACATAAACTGGATCTCCACTCACTTTCAGAATTAATCTTGAATTCAGTTGGGATAAACTGGTTGAGCGCATCAGTATTGAGAGAATACAGTGGAAGTAAGCAAACACATGATTTTTAAGATTAAGTGATACATTTATTCGATATGATTGTATTATTATTAGTTGTCTATCTAATTAATGATGAATTCGTTGCGATAATAATACCTATTATTGTTTTCATAGTCACTATGATCATGAATGCTATCATTATTGCTGTCTAGACCTATTATTTGTCATAAAATTGTTGTCAATTTTGCTAAAATATTTGTACAAGCTTTGAAAACTACTGCATAACTTGTCGTTAAATAATTTTATCATTTCATGATGCTTCGATGGACCTACTAGATATCGACAAACGATAAGTTGCGTAGTCCCTTAAGTTTAGTGAAAACTATTGGGCTACTTATATTTACATATATATATTGTTTGTAAAGTGATTACTTGTAAATGCTTATCAGGAAAATCTTCTTATTCAGATCATACATGTAATACCCAAGTTAATTATGCTTTTCTTAAACCTTTTCAGACTTATGGAAAACCATATATGTGCCGCGTACGCAGATGGAACTTACTGACGGTAACATAGGACTACGCATCTGAATTATCTGTACATTTGAAATCTGATTTTGTTTAATAAACAATTTTTCAATGAATCTGTCTTCATTCTGTTGTAATGCAATTGTGTTCCAGTAACATAAGTAGCACGTGCTAAGTTAGAAATTGAGGGTAAACTGTTAGGAGTAAATGCGGCGTCTGGAAAACTTTTGTTTACGTGATTATATAAGCAGATTGCAACGTATCGTGTTCTTTGACTGAGAACCCTAGGCATTCTGTTTTTAATTATTACGATAACCGTAGTTGTACTGAGTCATACATCTAACAGCATAGGTATAGTCTCTCCTTATGGTATATTGCGGCATGCAGAAATCACAAGCAAACTATCTCAGGTAGGTTTACTCTCACTTTGTGACTAGGAATCGCGAATCAGTATATGTACTCTGCTAAGACGATAGATAACTCGAAACGCTTTATAATCGCAATACCTCCTCTACGATTTAGACATATTTACTTTATTTTACTACAACATAATGTTTTACCAATAGACTTCTCCGAATATCTGCTCCTACTTAGTATTTCAAAGATAGCCTCATATACTCTATACCTAACAAATTACGCAAGGGCTAATATTCGGTCTTATCAAGTAGAATAAACAAACGAATAACAAGGAATACATTTATTAATGAATTAACATGTAATACAAAATCGACAACAGTGCAGGTATCTTTTTCTTTATCACCCAAATCCATGAAATTCCCGAAAGAAGATATTATCTGAAAAAGAACATAAGAATTATACAGATGTAGTCATTGTTATCAGTGTAAACACAATAATTAACCATGAAATATGCTTAAAATGACAAAATAATGATTTCAACTGTAAATAATTATGTTAGTCAACATCTTTCAATAATGCTAAGTTGATATTCCATCTGCCTGCTAACATCAACTTTATGCCATCATATAAGGAAATACTATGCATATATAATTTTTATGTATTTCTGCAGATTTTTATTAAGGAAATACATGTGGAGGAGCCTTGTCAGCATTTTACGCAAAGTACACAACAAAGTAACTGAAATAATTACCAAAACGAGCTGTCCCACCTCATCATGTCCATGCGTAATCCATTAAACTGCAAAATAAATTCACAAAAAGTCTTTATAACATATTTCTTCAAGTAATTAGACATTTTCTGAACGGAAAAATACGTTATTTTCAAGAAACTGTAAACTGCCTGTGACCTACGTCCGGATAAGAACACCACCATATGCTCTTTCTGCTAAATAGGCCGCATTTCATCCACTTTTAGCAGGAATATAGGTAGAAAAGTGTGAAAAACAACGAAAAATGACCTGACCTTGACGTTTTTCCAATATACAACGCCAATATCCATCAGCTGATCAAATGACCTACGTCCGTCTACAGGCTGCCCTAAAAGTGTGTCGCAGTCAGATCACATGAGGCGGACACCAACATAACCAGCCAAAAAGTGGGAATTTCCCTCAATCTAGATAACATATAATACAATTTTATTAAAAATTATTGGCAAAAAAAATTCCAAACGTAACTTCTAGAGTACGTGACGAATAAGTCCAGCCCTCAAAAGTTGATGGTACCGGTTGGACAGTTAGACTCCACGCATTCACCCAGAGATGGTATAAACGACAAACAGGCAGCAGTCTACTTTTTTACCAAAGATAAACTTTCATAAACGGTTTCCTTAATAAACAGTCTCGTGAATTCAATTGTAATTCAGTCATTCCACCACCAAAATCAATATGTGTACGTCGGTGGCACAGCGGTTAGAACTCTTGCCGATCATACATATGGTCCGGAGTTCGATCCTCTGCCGACGCACACCTAATATCTATGGTCGGCCGGCAAAATTTGGGCTACCGATATCCATGCTGAAAATTCCATACCTGTACCAAAAATACAGTGTGTAATCAAGCTGTAATCAAAAAAATATGTCCATCCTTAGAAACAACGTTTGGAGAAATTACACAGGTGCCAATTTGAGACCTGAAGGTGAAGTGTTCCATTGAACTCCGAGTACTCCCTTAACCGAATTCATCCTTTAGCAAGGGTAAGTAATATATTTATCCATCGCAGGGGGTCGATATTAGAAGCAGCCTAATTAACAGACATGGAGTAGCTAGCTTCAGGACTAAGTCACCCAACTGTTAGCCAAGGCACAGGTCTAGCATGTAGGTGACGACACAGAAGTCATGAGTGATAATCTTAAATGAGACTGATAAATCCAGAATCGCACAACGCTCAAGGTGATCTAAGCATCTGGCCCTCAAGAACATCATCCATTAATCGTCGTTGGTAGGTGACTGCAAATATGTCGCGGTGGTTAGGGAGGTCCATGCTTATGGTGGATGTCATAAAGTCTACAGGATTTAGGAACTGATTCTTCTATCAAAGTAACTCATGAAATCATTGACCGACGGTCTGTATTTTTGCTGAAAGATACTGTAACTACTGAAAGTTTGATTTTTAAAGCACAGCGGTGGGCTAGTGAAGCAGTGAAACCCAGTTGTCAATCACGTCTCATAAACCGTTAATGCCCAGCTCTCGCTACGCTCGGGCCCACGCTGTTCTTCGAAGATTTCAGAAACGCTTAGTTATAGCGGACGAAAAAACCAAAACACCGATCTGCCGTTTGATATTTCTGTATTGTTACACCAACATATAAAAGGAATAAGCGAACTAAGTAAACTAAGGTCTGAAAACAAATATTACAATAATAAATCATAAGATTACTTCTGACGATGTTTCACTCTTCTTTCTGAACAGCGACCGATGAGACGATGACTGTCATATTGATGCCTCCGCGAAAATTGGGGAAGTTGATTTTAAGCAAACAACCAAGAATTGATCGTTCAATCTTCAACTCCATTGACACTCCCCGGCAAAAAAGGGATCCAACACTTTTTTCCTTCATGACCAATTCACGTTGACTAGGATGCCATTGCGAGAACCTGGGTCACACGGACAGAGCTGAAACGGAAAACAAACAGAAAAGCCAACACAACACAAGCATACCCACAGCACAATCTCACACATCAATGACGACCTGTGCTTTCCAGTTAAAGGCATCCTCTTGCAACACAATCGCCACTTGCTAGAATGACTCTTGCAGAATGCAACGTGACCATGGCAGTACCTCACGATACTCTACGCCCATCCTCTTATCTAATCACTACCAATTACTACTGCAATCGCTTGTCACTCATTCTGCCTCAGTTCTAGTAGCGATGACGCATGCGAGCCTCAGTCGTTTACACTCTTTCTCCCCGGCGTGTCGGACCACAGCTAACAATTATCTCCGTGTGCATTTCATTCTCAGCAATAGCCTAGCCTCCCCGGCGTATACGACCCATCTGCTGTCATTAACATCAATCAATTCATTCACGGATGTAGAAGAGTGGACACAACATTGGAAGTAATCACGACGAAAATTTTAACAAAATTATGCAATAACAACAAGGTACGAAAACAACGAGTAAACACAATGAATTCAAATAACACCAATTGATATGACACACCACACGTATATACAAACAGTACACACAAACTCGCATTTCATGTCTTGATGGAATACCCTTGAAGAATTGCAGGACTTACACCAGTACGCCTACAAACCTTCACAGGTTGACCATTGTAAGTTGTGGAATGTCCGGACACAAACAAAATTACCAACAGCTAGATGACAGATGATATCAATTCAGTATATACAATATGAACATATGTACAAAATCACACACCAAGCACATTGGACTGCTCATTGATGCGCTACCCTTTGAAGAACTGTAGGACTTACAGCAGTATGCCTACAACCCTTCTCAGGTTGACGCCCTCGGTTGGAAAATCGTCAAAGAGTTCATTTGCTGACTTCCTTCTATCAGCTATATCCTCAAATCTGAACGGCAACACGCTCATATCATTGTATCGTAGAATATAGATGACGAACAAACACACGACATATCTCATCAACCAAGTATAGAAACAGAGTAATTTACACCAAAGATAATAACATTCAAATAGTAACTTGAAACTAGAAATGCCTTTATTCGTGCAAGTCAATTTAACAATAACTCTCTCCTTTACACTTGGCTTATCCACACTAAACTGACCATTGATATTCGTCTTTTCAAACGCACCAATACCATCATAGTCATTGCAGAAGATACTTGAGTTGATGGGCATCTGTTTCATTGTGGATGAAAACACCAACGATGACTGAGTGACACAAGGTGATGAACTTAGTGGTGGATCAGAAGCTGTTCTTTTTCGGATCTCAGATAGTTGTCCAACTGCAAGATTACCACCACTGCTGTCTTTTACTATCAGTTCGGGTTTAGCACTGGCATCTGATGATAGGTGGGCTACATGCTGATCAATCACACTGACAGTCTCACAAGTATGCATGCCTTCTGCAACTGAATCTGCATTTATTTCTACTTCACGTTCAAGTTGTGCAGAACCTTTGTTCAACTTAGCAGTAGTAGGCATATCCCTCATCTCATCATGATCAACCAAAGACAACTGTGAAGTATCATGATCATTATCACGAATATTCACTTTACCGTCAACTTCATCATTTTCAAACTCTTTAATAACAGAAGTAGACAATTTTGGTTCCTCCTCACAAATCATTAAAGGTTTTATATCTTCACTCTGACTAGTTATACTTTGTAAACTTGTGGAGTCAGAACTGGACTCTGAAGCAGTAACTCTATTCTGTGACACTCTATTCAACAACGGCTTACCAGTTGCAACTACAGACTTCTTCACAACACCGTTTTCGTCACACAATTCGGAGTCAGACCTGGAGTTTACATTTAGCTTATCACTGAACTTGCTCACTGGTTCACAGTTCACTTCTGTATGCACCTCTTGCACACGTGTACAACAAAACCGTGTTTGTCTTGCATCTTGTAACTTATCTGTTGAGGATGTACTACGAAACCTGTTACACTC